GCAGGCCCTGGAGGGTGTGGCCAACAACCGTGGAAAGAGCAGCAGAGGGTGCCTGGCACGCGTGTGGCACAGCTGCAGGGAGGCTGGGCACCGGGCGCCGCTGCTTCCCCTGGGAGGGCCACGTGGCGTCTGGGGCACTCCACGCTTTACTCCTGACGTCGATGCCCAGGCTTGGCCAGCAGCAGCTCCAATTTTTCTTTTCAGAGAAAGAGTGGGTCGTACCTACCGGTGGAGATGGCCAATGCAGACAGAGTGCCGCAGGTGCCTCGGGGACCAGAGCCCTGGGGGCCTCAGGTCACAGGAGCACCTTCTGGGTACGCCACCTAGACCTGGCCGAAGGGGGAGACTCGTGTGAAAACGGGTCCTGCCCTCGGGTCCCAGGGACACTCTCCACGTAGGAGAGGCCGCCGCACACCCAGTCCTAGCGCCAGCCTGGAGACCTGCACAGGCCTCTGGACACGACCCGGGTCGTCACGGGTAGCAAAGCGCAGGAAGCCCAGTGCCTGTCCAGGTCCCCACGCTTTCTCCTAASGGTGGCTTGAGGCCTCCGTCCAAGACGCACACGCCTTCCCCACAGGAAGCTGGGCTCCTGCATATTGGGCTGTGAGTAATTACGTTGTTACCGTGTTACTGTATTTTTGTCTCAGGAAAACTCTAAATGTTAATATGTATTATGACATTTTTGATTATAGTGGAGGAGAAAACAATTCCTGGATTTAAAAAAAAAGAAAAAGCAATGAAAGCCTCATGCCGCCTGGCTGACGGCGCTGTCGCGGGGCCTGCCTGGGCATCTGCAGGCTCCCTCACGGGGGAGACTTGAAAGGCCGCGCTGGCTCTGGCCTGGAGACCTCTCGGACTCGTTACGCGGCTTGGCTGGAAGACACTGGCAGAAAAAAAACAGTCACTCCCAGCTGTTCTGTGGCAGGACAACACGTTAAATCTAGACCATTAAATAGTTCTGGAATCAAAAGAACAGGTGGCAAATGATCTCCAAGGCAGATGGCACCTTTTAATATCTGCATTTGATGGTAATTCTTGCTACCAGAGACCGACTCCTCACTCACACAGCACCTTTCTCACTCACGTGCTTAAGAAAACGGCAAGTCACGTCGTAAAAATAGGCAGGATTGTTCTTAAAAGAAGAACCACTTCATTTRTCCCGTCCTGTGGGGCAGCTGCCGAGTTCAGTCAGCTCTGAGCCCACCTCACCGTTCCTGGCACGAGGCCAGGGCAGGACCCTGTCTGGTGGCTGCAGGTCTGGAGCGCTCCGGGGACATCCCCAGCCCCTCATCCCGTCTCTCACTGGGCGCTGACACACAGCTCCTTACACACTGAGGTCGTCTCCYCGGAAGCTCCTCTGCAGTCTGGAGCCAGAGGCCTGCAGGAGCAGGGAGGAGCCAGCAGCCGTGGTGGAGACCTGGGGGAGAGGGCGCCTTTCTGTCCAGCCCCCTGGTGGCTCCTCCAGCCGTGCCAGCCCAGCCGTCAGCAGAAAGGGCAGGCTATGACGGCACACGTGCTGTCCCCAAGGCTCTGAGCTCACCAGGCACAGTCAGGGGTGAAAGGGTGGCCTTATGAGAGCGGTGACTGAGTCAGCCCGGGGAGTCTGAAGGATGGGGTGGGACTAGGCAGGTGGGCCTGGCTGGAGGTGGCAGGTCACGGGAAGGCTTGGTTTTCCTGGGGCCTGTTCCTCTCCCCGATTCTCCATCCTGAGCTGCCTTCCTCCTCATGACCTTCTGCCATGATGTCCACCTCACCTCTGACCCAGACTGTGGGGCTGGCTGGCCGTGGACGACGTCTCTGAAACCGGGGGCCAAGACAGACCGTTCCTCTGCTAAGCTGTTCTTGTGGGGTCCTTTGGTCACRGGACGCCCATCTGAATATCAGACAGCACATCTGCAGTGCGCTGTGCCCTCCACTCGACGCTGCCCCCACTAGCTCTAGCAGACCTGAGCAGCAGCGTTCAACGCAGAGAGCAGCTCTGCTCAGCCTGGCCCTGGGGACAGTGGTCCCTGAAGGCAGGGCCCTGCAGTCAGCTGAGTTCGGTCCACCACTTGTGCAGAGGGGCCAGGATAGAAAGACCCAACCCTACCTGCAGGTAACCTGGGGCCCAGGAAGGGGACCAGCAGGAGGCTGAGGGGCCCAGCAGCAGAGAGACAGGGCAGGGATGTGCTGAGTGGCAGCCCAGGAGGGGAACCTGCTCGGGCTGCGGGCAGAGCCCGTCCCCAGCATCCAGCTGCTCCCCCTGAGGACAAATATCCTGAGGTTCTCCTGCTCCCTCCTCCCAGAGAGCCTGGTTCCTTCGRGGTCCAGGCTAGAGGAACAGGAACTCCCAGGTGAGTCCGCACCTGCCAAGGCCTCAGTTTCTGGTCGGCACCCTCCTGGCATGAGCCAGGATTTCCTGACGGCAGCATCGCTGGTGTYGGCTGAAGGATCACTGTTATCACGGGGACTGTCCTGGGGCCAGGGACACGGGCTACTTCCCCAGCCTCTACCCCAAAGATCCCAGCAGCAGCTCCTGAACTTCTGACCAYCAAAAGCCATCTCCTGCCACTGCCCACTACACCCTGGGGACCAAGGTGCCCTGATGAGAACCATTGATCCCACTCTGTGTGGCCTCTGAGGCCATCTGGCTCTTGTCACCAAGCTGAGGGCGTCCAGCTCGTCACCTTTGGGTGTACACGGGTGGCTCCCCTCTGGACACACCCAGGCACCGGCGTCCACGACATCACTTCTCCCGGAGCAGACTTCCACTGACGACTCCCCTCTGCTCTGGGTCCCCCTAGACCTCCCAGGGACCTCTGTCCTTCTCCTGCCCCTCGCCGTCCACCCATTTTAAGGGGTGTCAGGAATTCTCCAGCGAGCTGCTCGTCAGAACAGCTGACTCCAAGAGCAGCTCCTGCACGGGCTGCGGAGAGCGGCCTGGAGACGGCCTGCCTGAGCAGCCCTGGCCGCGAGCTSCCCGGCATCTCCTGCAAGCCTCGCTTCTCCAGAGGTTCTCCAGGGACTCCAGCTTGGTGTAACGTGGGCCTGGCTGGCCTCACTCCCTTCTGAGATGGCCAGAGGAGGTGCCCTGGACAGTACTGCAGGTGGCCACCCCTCCAACACCCTCCCCGGGCACCCCTGGGAGAGCTGCAGTGCCTAGGCTGCCTCACAGCCCGCAGCTCAGTGAGCTCCTTGGTCCTGGTCCACCCCAGACTGCATTTCAACCTCACCCTCCTCCGAGCAGGGCTTTCAGATCAAACGTTCAAGGCCAACGCCCCCATCCATCGAGGCAGAGACTACAACAGAGAGGCTTGACCTTTTCYGACTGAGCGCACAGTGTGGCTGATTCGGGTACAGAACCTTTGAAAAGGCCACACAGAAGGGGGCTAATGTTTTTGATGTCATTTCCTAAGTGCCTGAGAGACAGAAGCGAAGCCCCCTGGCACCCAGGTCTCGGTTCTCAGATGGATTTCCCGGGATCAGTGTCAGCTGATCAAATGTCAGTGACTGACAGGTCTCGGGCAGCCTCTTGACACAGCTGGGAGCTGGGCTCCATACAGGGTCACCCACACACTCGCTTATTTTCCCATCAAACTCCAAGTGTGAGTTCACTCGCACGCGGAAACGCAAACGGGGCCTGGTTCTTGAGAGTAGATTGACCAGATACTCGTCACAGCCAGGTGGAACCACAGAAGGCCACACCCAGYRKGGAGAAGGCCACRCCCAGCGGGGAGAAGGCCACGCCCAGCATGGAGAAGGCCACACCCAGCGGGGAGAAGGCCACCCTAGGTTTGCAGGAGGAGAGGGCCCCAGGCCAGAAACTCGGCAGAGACTGGGAACCAGGGCACAGCTCACCCTGGGCGTGTGACGCCTGGACACACTTCCCAGCCTCGCGGGCAGCGACGCAGGCGGAGCGTCTCTCCTCCTAACTGCTGGGGACCTCGAGGGTTTTGGATTAGGGATTTTTTCAGATTTTCAGATTTTTTCAGATTTTTGCTCATCCGTGATGAGACATCTTGGGGAGGAGACCCCAGCTAAAAGGAAGTTGATTTATGTTTCACGTACCCATTGGACACACGGCCTGAAGGTTTCATACGATATTTTTGAAATAATTTKGTGCAAGAAACAAATCTTTACGGTGTGGGAATTCCACGGGACACCCTGCCAGCACTCCAAAGGGGTGGATTGGGAGCATTTCAGATCGTGGACTTTGGGATCCAGGATGCTATTCCCAGGCCCCGTGTGTGTCACTTTCTCAGAATCCCCATTCAGGTGAACAGTGAAAACCAGAGCACTCCTGGAGGGCCCACCCAGGGCTGTGCTACCCTAACGGGCACCTGAGGGAACCCGCGTTTCACAGGGACACCCGGTCGCCAGGCCTGCCGACTCCAGCAGCCACGTGCAGGCACGGATCCGTGATCAGCCTGGCCTCCCTCCTTGGCCCCACATCCACGACTCCCAGCACCTCCCAGAAAGCCAGAGTGTCCGCCAGCCCRACGCCCCAGGACAGCTCAGGGGCTCGGGGCCATCACTCGTCCTGCCCCAGTCCCAGCCTGGCCAGGGAGGGGCGAGTGGCTCAGCACTGTGCTCTAGTGCCAGGCGGGCTCATTGCCAGGGCTGCTCTTGCTATTTCGTGTGCCCCACACAAGGAAAGAACACACACAAGGTGGGTCCCTGCACCACCAGGCTCCTGCCCTACGCCGCAGAGTCCTAGGAGACGGCTCAGTTCTTCACTCACAGGCTGAAGATGCCGGGTGGCACAGCAAGGCCTGGCTCCTGGTGGAACCCAGGTGTGTCTGGGCAGTCAGACGTGGAGCAGACCCTGCGTGACCTCAGAAGAGGTCAGCACAGGCACCCCTGGCCACAGGCACTGACCAGAAACCAGGGACAACCTGATGTCAGGAGGCTGGCCACATCCTGCAGCCACAGGCCGGGTCCTGTGAGCCACGGAGGCCAGCATCCCTGCCTCTCACCGATGGAGGATTCCGTCTGCGAGCAGCGCGCGGCTCTGTGCCTACCTGAGAAGGGGGCCGTCAGGAGCGGTATTTTGATGGGCGCCAACGTCAGGAAGTGGCAGGGCTGCACGCTGGCGGGGGATGGACCCCGGAGTCCCTCAGGGTCCACGGAGACCATAGCCGCGGCAGCGGCGGCAGCGGCGGCTGCGATGGYGATGGTGGGACTGTTGCTGATTGGTTTAAGGCTGTTATGGCAACCACCTGCAGAAGAGGGACAGGTCAGAATGGGACGTGCATCATCCAYGGTGACATATCAGGCACCAGCACCCAAACCCCACACCAGCTCCCTCCAGAGAAAGCCCACACTATGGGCCTCCCTCCCCAGAGGAAGCACTTGAGGGTGGACTGTGCAACTGCACWCGCCCTGCAGGATGTCCAGTGCACTGCAGAGCCTGTGGTCACCCGGGACAGGAGTGAGACCCCTGCACCCTAACAGAAGCAGCCCAGCTGCGATGCATGTGGATAGTGCACAACATCAGAGATCACCACAACAGGCCGGGGCAGGGTGCACCTCTGTGACCCCGGCAATTAGGAGTGGCAAGTTCAAGGCCAGCCTGGGCAACTTGGTGAGACCCTGTGTCCAGGTATAAAATCAAAAAGGCTGGGGATGTGGCTCAGTGGAAAAGTGTCCCTGGGCTCAATCCTCAGTGCACAACAGGATGAAAGGAAAGGGAAGCCACGGTGACAAGAGCGTGGTCACTGGAGCCACTCCAGGCCACACACATGGGGTGGGGAGGGCTTGCTGGAAGGGGCAGCTGTGGGTCAGGGCAGACGGGTGTCMTGAGCTCACAGGACCCGGCCTGTGGCTGCAGGATGCGGCCAGCCTCCCGACATCAGGTTGTCCCTGGTGAGGACTTGGCCACCAAAGGGACCAAGGACAGTTATGCAAGGACTCACAAGACAGGTGAGTGACAAGACAGGCCAGAAAAGCACTTAAATACCTACACCACAGTCACTGACAGGTGACTTGTGCGGCTTGCTCCCACTCACAGGGACAGAGCCGAGGGCCCACAGTGCACAGCTGCCTCCAGGCGCGGCCTCGCAGAGGACACGCAGACTACATTTTTCTCACTTCTGTGCCTTCTGTGATAGGTTGATGGGCACAAGGGAAAAGGCAGAGAAGCGGGGTCAAGAGCTAGGAAAGTCCTTATGGGAGGGGCCCAGGGAGGAGCCACTGGCCCCTGGAGGAGAGGGCCATGGACAAACAGCAGGGAGTGCAAAGGCCCTGTGTGTCCAGGAGAATGGGAGGCAGGTGGAGGGGGCAAGGGGAAGGACGTGGCGATGAGGAAACAGGGCTGGCTGGGGGACAGCAGTCAGTGCAGGTGGACGCAGGTGGACACAGGTGTGTGGTGACTTGGGTTGCACTTGGTTTGGGCAGCATTAAGGGACGGGGCATGCAGCAGGGAAGGGCCTGCCCTGACACCGTGTGGATGTCCCGATCTTGTCTGTTTGGGGACGACAGGCAGGGCTCGGTTCCGCCCAGGCCCAGGGACAGTGCCTGCCAATCTGCGTCTCAGGGAGCCCTCCACCAGGATGTCAGACGTATTTAAGAAGCTGCCCATGGAGGACTGGAAGTCAGTCTTGGACGTGGACGTAAGCTGGCTCCTCTCCTTCCTGTCTGCCCAGTTTCTGAAGTCCCTGTGACGGGCAGACATGGTCTAAACCTGAGTTGACTTTTCACCAAGCAGTGTTGGGCTGGAGAAAGACCAGCAGAAGGTGCCGCTCCCTCCTGGGCCACCCCAGGTCCCTGCTGATGCCTTGCTCTGCCGCGGTGTGTCTCCACAGGGGAGAGCTCTCGGGGACACACGGTGACTCACTAAGACCCACAGTTTCCTGCAGGATTCGTTGTCATTGGTGCTGAATGTCCTATGGGTTTTGACAAATGCACACTGACACGTATCTGCCACCCCAGCCTCACCCAGAGTCCTGCGGCCCCAGAAATGCCCACACTGCACTTCCCCCCTCCTCCCACCCCCACAGCCCCTGGCCTGTCCACTGTGGCCATGTCTTCTCTGAATGCCCTGTGATCAGAACCAAGCCTTGCCCAGCCATACCGACTGGCTTCTGCCCTTGGCCATGTGCACTTAACRTCCCTCCATCCCCCACTGAGCGAGGCACACGGGAGCTCCCTTCATGTCTCCATTGTGCAGCAGCTCATTCCTGGTTAGGGCTGAGTAGTATTTCACTCCAAGGACGCAGCAGTTACCCACTCACCCCCTGAAGGACGTCCCCAGAGCTTCCAAGTGTTGGTGACTATGAATAAACTGCTACAATAGCTGTGCCCAGATCCTAATGTGGACATGAGTTTTCAACTCCTCTGGGTAAATACCAAGGAGGGGAATTGCAGCATCACACGGTAGAGGTAGGTGTGGCTTTGTAAGAAACCACCGACTCCTCCCAAGGGGCTGACTGCTCTGTCCCCAACAGCCACGCAGAGTCCTGCTTGTGGCACTRGACCTGGTCTGTTCCACTGGGGTGTAGTGGATCCCATCATTACCACGTAGGGATCCAAAGAGAACGTAAGCCATACTCAAGACCCTACAGCTTAATAACAAACCACCCCACRGCAGACCCCGTAGATAAGTGCCAASGTCCCCCGGACCCCCCTGAGCACCTGACTGTGCTGCTGTTCTCTGCTGGCACGGCCCCTCTGTGCTGGCACCACATCGTGGTCACAGTGCAGGCTGCTTTCCCATGAGATGTCACAGACAGACACACCCTTTACCACTGAGAGGCCAGCTGCTGCCCAGGGCCCGCTGCTCCTGGGGGTGCAAGTGCCACATGGACCTGCCATACTCACTCACTGCGTCCCAGACGACGCCCAGGCGAGCAGCATGGCAGAGACCACTGGGCCCCAGGTGGACACCTGCGTGTTTCACCCAGGACCAGGCCGGGGTGAGCCTCTGCAAGCTCTGGGGCATGTGGCCATCAGTTGAATGACTGATTTGGGGAAAATCTCCACACTTCCAARTCCCCTGTGAGTGTCTCTCATTCAAAGTGGCTTCTCCCTCTCCAGAAGTCCTTTCTCCACGGCTTCTCCACAGCTGGCTGTGACCACTGKTGCCCTGCCCAGTGCTTCTCGAGACAATGGCAAGGGGAGTCTTCCAGGGCTGCCCAGGAAGAGGTGGCTCACAGGACCGCCCCGTCCTGAGCTGCTGGAAGCCCCCAGGGAAGGGCCAGGGTGGGAGCAAGAGCAAAGCCCCTCAGGCCCCCTGAGCTGGCCCTTCATCACCCCCAGATCCATGTCCTTCCCGGCCCAGGAGCCCCAGGCACCAGCCCTAGGGACGGGCCCTGTGTGGACACCTGACTCAGGCCCACAGCAGGACGCATGTGTGGCCCAGCAGTGACCASCAGCAGCAGGCCTCTCTTCCCGCCTCTCTGCAGGAGGCTCACAGCTGCACTGAGGCTGTGAGAGCCCCGGAGGTGCCAGGCCTGGAACCTGGGCTGCAGACAGGGGAGGGGCCGGCAAGGCCCCCCACCCACACCAGGAGAGGTTGACCTTTTCATGGMGAATGCAGGTCACCATGCTAAGAGAGCAGCCCGGTGGGATCAGGGTGCAGACTGGGGCCGGAGGGTGCAGCTCCCGTCCAAAGACCAGGTGATGTCTGGGGCCTGACCAGGCAATTACAAGGGCTGTGCCTGGCGAGCCTCCAGGACACCTTTCTCTCCATGCCAGAGGGGTGCAGGACTGGCACCTGGCGGGCTCCCAGACAGCAGCAGCAGACAGGGCCCAGGGCAGGCTCCCTCCCGCAGTGCACCCAGCAGGGGTGGCACCTCCCCTCCTAGGTGTCCACCACAGGCCTCAGGCCCTGGGCAAATCCAGGCACCTCTGCAACGCATCCTCATTGGGCGGGGGGCCTGGACAC